CGTTCTTCTCTCGTAGCCTACAAGCTGAGGGCCTGAAACCAGTTGTGGTGGGGCATAATTCCGAGGTTCTCCCACCTGTGATTCTCTCTCAGGGGCTGGAGCAGGCAGATTAGCCCCCTCTTCCTTTAATAAACCGCTCTCAACATTCCATCCGCCTAAGAGTTTCCTTTTCTTCAAGATCTGTTGAGGTTTCACTGCTTGTCTTCTGCTTCTTTTCCAGATGTCATCACTCCAAATGGCCTGAACATCAAGAAATTCTCAGCCATGCACGAGTTTCAGAACTTGCACGCCACTTGTAAGGCTAGGATCCAAGAGTTTGTTCGAGGCCATTTCTATGGGTAAGAGTCCAAACGAGTAGTTGTGCGGCCCATTTACCAGCCGTTTCCTATGTACCTGAAGTGCCGTGCCTCAGTGTTGCCTGAGAAATGTATATTTACTGCAGGAGCATGTGGAAATGTTATTTCAAAGGTTACCTCAATGACCGGATGTTGTAGAGGGTGTACTGGTATGAAAAAATATACAGATGCGTGCTAGATGCCCACAGAACAGTACAATCACAAAAGAGACTAGATTAAAGCCATAACATCATTTAGTGTCTGGTAATAAAAAACCAGGTTTTTTTGCGGTGGCTCAAGTGGTTAAGACGCTGAACTGCAGGCTGTGGAAGGTCAGTAGTTCAGCAGTTCGAGACCCGTAACATAGCAGGAAGGACATTCACTCCATTCAGTACCAGTTGCAGGAATTGTTTGATTAAACAATGATTGCTTTCCGTTTATCCCTTCCCTTTTCAGCCATCTTGACTTCAGCCTTGAAAAGACCTTGTTTTTCTTCATCGCCGGGAGATACGAGTTTTCAAACAAAGGAGCCGACATGTTTTTAGAGGCCTTGTCTCGACTGAATTTCCTGTTGCGGGTAAGAAACACGTGAAGATGCCTTTGAGTGCCTGAGACTTTTGGTCCCGTGGCTCAGTTATCCCCTTCTCTGGCTGGTGACGGACCTCCAGTGCAGAGCTTCCAGTCCTGATGTTGGAGATCCTTGCAGGGGAGGGGATGGAAACAGGGTCCTTTGTGCACAGCAGAGCTATTTTTGGGCAGGAAGGCACAGGAACGGAGTTCTGGCTGGCTCCCGAGTTGGCCACACCCAGCAGGAACTCATTAGCATAATAGGCCACACCCAACAGCAGAAACTCATTAGGATTGGCTACATTAGGGGTGTGTGGCCTAACTTGCAAAGAAGTTCCTGGGTTTTGACAACAAACAAGGTCAACAGAATAAGAAGCAAAAGGTGGGCGTGGCTGGATGGCCACACTTCTGGTAACATGGGGGTGCAGCTGTGCTGTCAGGGGTGTGGCCTAATAAAATAATGAGTTCCTGCTGTTGGGTGTGGCCGATTATGCTAATGAGTTCCTGCTGGGCTTTTTCTACAAAAAGAGCCCTGGACTGCACAGGGCATGTGTACCATTGGATCATGGGCCTTGCCCACCCATAGCTACAACAAAGATAAAATAGGAACCAGCCTGTCTTGGGAGCAATGGATTTCCATCTTCCCCATTTGGCTGCATCAGACGGAGTAATCCAAGGAAAGGACTAACATCACCATGTTTCCAATATTCCAACTGAATATCTGGAAAAATGGATGTTAACAAATTATTTGAGTTCGTTGGATCCCAGTGGATTGCCATACCCAGGCCTGGTGTCAAAACAGGGCTTACTCGGTCAGTCGCCGATCAGTGAAAGCTGCCAGGGAGGCTGCTTCCAATTGCAGCGTCTGGCAATGAGGGAGGGAGTTTCTCTGTCTCCTCCTCCCTCCCTCTGCCAGGGAGGGAAGGAGTCCACCTCCCCTGCCTTCCCCCCAGCTTTCCCTCTGCAGTTTGCGTAGTGCACAAAGTTCCTGGCCCAGTCGTATCTGAGCCTGCTCAGCTTCCGAGATCTGACGAGATTGGGGTAGCCTGGGCTATCCAGGTCAGGGTATTTTGGAACTCTACCTGGCCTTGTCCGGAAGCACTTGACTTTGGCCGAATCTGCATTTGTCTTTCCCACCGGTGACCCAGCCTTTTGACTCCGTCTTCAAAAAAGCTGTCTACATTTGGTGTCGTTTTCACACCTCAACAGTGCTAGCCTACTTTTGTTTATCGTCCTTTCGGGGCGGCTCCACTGTCATTGCACCTCCGCACTGCTTTAAAAGAATCTTCTCCAAACAACATTCAAACAAGCATAGTGACAGACTGCGCGACAGCAGCAGGGAACTGATTTAGAAATGCAAACGTAGATTCGACCGTTGTCTGGAAGGCTGATCCAGTGATGCCTTCCCGATTACCTTCTTGTGTCGCCAAAGCTGACTGGCCATGTGATGTCAAGATAATCATCATCTTTTGCATGCAATAACTTTAGCCAGGATTGCCTTTGGAGGAAATATGATAACAAAACTACTACAGATTAGGAAGAGAAGTGGCTGTACATTTTGCTCTGGGCGACTCTGCGGAGAGTTATGGAGAAACCAGTGCAGTGTGACTAGCTTAAGCATAGGAATTGGTGTGTTGTTCCGGATAGGGTTGCCATCCCCTGGTAAGGCCAGGGACACACACACCCCCAATTTCTGGGCCCCCAATCCACCACGGCCCAGCTGGCCAGCAGGTGAAGCCCCGCCCCTGAAAAGCCCCCTCCTGGCGCCCCTGGTGCCGGTGCGATGATGTAATCCAGGAGTGACATAATTGAGTTTCCAATGGCAGGGCAACGCTCTAGCCCCCTGGGCAAAACTCTATGGTTTTGAGGCCCCAAAACCATAGAGTTTTGCCCAAAACCTAGAGTGTTGCCCTCAACACTGGAAACATGATGATGTTGCTCCCGGGTGAGGTTGTCACGGCGTGTGCACTTCGCATGCACACAAGAACTCAAGGAGTGATTGGGAGTCTCCCCACCGGCAGCCAGGTAAAACCTGGCAACCCCAGTTCCCGAGGTACTCAAGAGGAGAACTGAGAAAGGAATCTTCTCCTTTTTTGCAGGTACACAAGAGCGATGTTACCATTGTCGTGTTCTTTATCATGCCAGCAAGTACTAACAATTTCAACGTGGAAACCCTGAAAGGCCAGGCCGTCCGGAAGCAGCTCTGGTAACTCTCCCTTTCTTCCTCTTTCACAGTTTTCCGTTTGTTCTGGCGAGAGACAGGCTGGTGGCTCTACCTTTTGTCAAAGGGCTGTGCCGCACAGCCCCAAAGGGGGCTTATACTCCCCCCCCCCGTGCCAGCCTGAAATAGCCCCGGGGGGGCACTGTTCACTCCACTGGGGACTGGACGTGTACTGATGAACTACACAATATATATCAGGGCAAACAGTACACCTCAGGTCAGTTCAGTTCAGGAAAACGGTGCTGGGGGAAGTGTCCGCCCTCTCGTTTCATGCACCCTGGTCCCGATTCAAATCAGGGCTGTTAACATCTGGGAAGCGAGGAACTTCAGAGCATTTCCCTCCGCTTGAATCTGGATCATCCCCAGGGAAAACATAGTATGTCGACTTAGGCCCTGAGTGCGAGTTTGTGTATCAGGAAGTCCCTGGTTCAAATCACGACACAACTGTGACCTCGTTAAGTGGCCTTACCTGAACCATCGTAGTCTATCCTAATAAGGATATTGTAAGTATTACTGAGCTAATATATAGCAGAAGCCCTTAGAATACTCAGAGACATTACATCAAGGGAAATTATTACTACTTGGCACTGATTGGCGGGGGGGGTAGGATGTTGCTCCCACCCTACAAAATGCAGGAGAAATATAGGAAAAAGAGACTGTGGCTCCCAGGTTCACGGAAACTTTAGAATGAGGGATGGGCGAATGTGGGTATCTTCGCGTTTTCTGATTGGCGTTCATTCGTTGTCATTGGTTTTAGTCATCTCAGCGTTGTTGTCCTTGGTGACTACTGCCCGTTCCATTTTAATGCCCTTTTTGTTATTTATATTGTTATTGTTATTATATTATTATTATTATTATTATATTATCTTGTTATTTATATAGTTATATATTATCTGTCATGCTGCAAAAAATAACATTGGAAATATATTAGTTGTGATAGAAAAATATGGCTGGAAGAAAGAGACACCGGTGTAAGAAGGGTCATGACCCCATTAATAGTGCAATCCTAGGCAGAGACACACTCTTCCAAGTCCACTGAAGTCGACCATCTTTCGGGTATGTTGTAGGGCTCTCTTTCGGCTGTGCTCCTGCAGAGTGCAGGGGGTTGGACTAGATGACCTGCAAGGTCCCTTCCAACTCTAACCTTCCATGATTCTGTGATTCCTTGACTGGTGTAGCAGGGTATAACTCTGCTTAGGTGCTGCATTATAAGGTACCATGTGCCAACTAAGGGCGATTCAGCATCTGGCATTCGCTCCACATTTTCTCAACTGGGAGGGAAAAGTGCAGCTCAAAACCACATTCAAACACCTCGGGGGCCACACCCTACTGACTGCAAGGTCACCCCTGAATGGCGATAAAATGGTCATAAATCTATGCAGAAGGTACAATAAAATCCGAGGATCAAAGAACTCAAAAGTGGCATGGAGTGTGGAAGCTGCCATAAAACCCGAAGCTCAAGGGAAGTGAAAGCGGCATGCAATGCAGAGGGGAATTTCTGTTCCAAGGTGGGTTTCCTAAAGCGACGGAGGGAAAAGGCAATGCAGAATCAGCCTAACTTTGAAGGAACAAACCCGGAGGACAGCAGTACCTCCTTTTCTCAATTCAGCCTATATTCTAATTTAGATGCTGCCCTCTGGTGTACACAGGAGGTATGACGTCCATACCGATGCAACACGTCCTACGTTCACACCAAGGAACCACGGCCTGAGTCCACTTCCTGGGGTTGCCACCTCCTGGTTGGGAAATGCCTGGAGGTTTGGGGAGTGGGTCCTGAGGAGGGCAGAGTTTGGTGCGGAAGGGGGGGACCTCTGCAGGGTATAATGGAGTCGAGTCCAGCCTCCAAAGCAGCTATTTTTTCCAAGTGTACAACCTCCATCAGCTGGAGACCACTTGTAAATAATGAGATCTCCAGGCCCCACCTGGAGGCTGGCATCTCTCCCCTCCCCATACTACGCACAGTTGAAGGTTCTACGCCATATGCTGTAGGCTTCGTGTGAGAGAGGGGCCGTGGCTCAGTGGCAGAGCCTCTGCGTGGCATGCAGAAGGTCCCGGGTTCAATCCCTGGCATCTCCAGTTAAAAGGACCAGGCAGGAGGTGATGGGAAAGACCTCTGCCTGAGGCCATGGAGAGCTGCTGCCAGTCTGAGTAGGCAATACTGACCTTGATGGACCCAGGGTCTGATTCAGTGTAAGGCAGCTTCATGCGAATACATTAATTTACTCTGCAATAGGCCTTCCTTGCTTTGCTATAAAAGCCAAATAAGATTTTGCTCTTTAGATTAAAAACATGCATAATATGTTATGAATGATGCCAAATGGACCTTGCTCACATATCAAGCCACAGGCTGGAGATCCACTGCAAGTGGTCCTTATAGTACAAACCTAAGCAAAGTCATACCCTTCTAAACCCATCGCCTTCAGGGGTTTTAGGAGAATGTCGGTCTGCTTAGGCTGGCATTGTTAATGTGCATGCGTGTGCATTTACATGCATAAGCCTTAGAAACAAGATGCATCCACCCAGGCTTCCTCGGGAGATGGTGGGCTCTCCTTCTTTGGAGGTTTTTAAGTAGAGGCTAGATGGCCATCTGACAGCCATGCTGATCCTGTGACCTTCGGCAGATCATGAGAGGGAGGGCAGGAAGGGTTGCCTCAGTGCATAGTTTTATGGCCCTTTCTTACACACCCTGGCCAGGGCCGGATTTAGACTTGCTGAGGCCCTAAGCTATACAAAACCCAGAGGCCCCCTACTGGTTTAAATCAGCAGTTCGAGACCCGGGTGTGCCGCATGATGGTGTGAGCTCCCGTCTCTAGTTCCAGCTCCTGCCAACCGAGCAGTTCGAAAGCAAGAAATTGCAAGTAGATAAATAGGTACCACTTCGGTGGGAAGGGAACAGCGTTCCGTGCGGCTTGGTGTTTAGTCGTGCCGGCCACATGACCACGGAAACGTCTTCGGACAGCGCTGGCTCTTCGGCTTTGAAACGGAGATGAGCACCGCAACCCTAGAGTCGGATTCGACTGGCTTTCGAGCAGGGGAACCTTTACCTTTACCTTTAGGCCTTCCTTGCTTTGTTTTAAAAGCCAAATAAGATTTTGCTCTCTAGATTAAAAACATGCACAACGTGTTATGGATGATGCCAAATGGACCTTGCTCACATAGCAAGCCACAGGCTGGAGATCCACTGCAAGTGGTCCTTATAGTACAAACCTAAGCAAAGTCATACCCTTCTAAACCCATCGCCTTCAGGGGTTTTAGGAGAATGTCAGTTTGCTTAGGCTGGCATTGTTAATGTGCATGCGTGTGCATTTACATGCATAAGCCTTAGCAGGGGTCGTTTCGTAGAAAAAGAGCTAGGGGAACTCATTAGCATAACTCATTAGCATATGCCACACCCCCTGACATATCTGACAGCCATGCTGATCCTGTGACCTTCGGCAGATCATGAGAGGGAGGGCAGGAAGGGTTGCCTCAGTGCATAGTTTTATGGCCCTTTCTTACACACCCTGGCCAGGGCCGGATTTAGACTTGCTGAGGCCCTAAGCTATACAAAACCCAGAGGCCCCCTACTGTTTTAAATTACATCCGCTGGTCTCAGAAAAATTTAAAATATATACGCCTTTTTAATATTTGAAATCATTTTTTATATTGTGTTTTTATTTGAGGCCCCAGCAGATTGCAGCTCCTGGAGGATTTTTGCCATCTTCTGGGCATGGAACAGGGGTCACTGGGGGTGGGGGGAGAGGTATTTGTGAATTCCCTGCATTGTGCAGGGGGTCAGACTAGATGAGTCCAGAGGTCCCTTCCAACTCTATGATTCTAGGTGCTCAGACATTTCACTTCCTGAGAACCTGGGGAGGGAGTTAAGGCTTGAAGGATGACAGTG